GTTTCCATGGTTCCTTCATCTGGGGATGGAGACAGGGACCCACATTGGAGCACTGGAGTGAGCTCCCAGGGTCCAGTTGAGGGGCTGAGGGAAGCAGAGGATGAGCAAGAAGGTCAGGGCAGAGAGGGGTTGGTCCACTCACAGAGACAATGTCCCTGATCTAATGGGAGCTCACCAATTCCATCTGGACTGGGACTGAACGAGGCTGTGGTCAGGCTGGAATCTCTGGGCATGACTGATGGTGAGGGCTGGCGGAGAAGACATTGATAATGTCACTGGGACTTGTGTTTGCTGGATGAACTGGCTTTTTGGGATTCTGGTCTATTTGGATGCTTGCGTCCTTGGGACTGGATGGATGGGGGAGGGCCTTGGACTTCCAACATGATGGGGTATCCTGGGACTGGACAGGGAGGGAGGAAGATAGGTCAGGAAGTACGGGGAGGGGGTAGGTGGAAATTTTGGAATGGAAAAATTAAAAAAAATGAAAAATAAAATAAAAAATATCAAACAGAAAAAAAATAAAGCCATGCTACCACTCTTTTATTTCTTCTGGGTCATCAAGGCTGTGGTAAAGAACTTAGATCAACCATTCATACCACACTGGTACTGACATGTTCATGAGACTCAGCAGTTAGAACACTGGTGACTTATCCACGGGGACCAACATTGATACCCAGCACCCACAAGTGTGTGTACTTCCAGTCAGAGGTGATTAGACACTGTCTCCATGTCTACGTCTAAAGTAAACTTCATTCTTTTTGAAGATAACAGGCACACAGAGAAAACCTATTATAAATAAAGAATCACATACAGACCTTTCTGTTCAGCATTTGCATATCTTGTGCCATAAGAAACCAGAATAATGTACCACATATTCAGAACCTACAATTACATGGAGTTCTGACCAATCTGAAGTGTGGGCTAGGAATCACACTTGGGTACCAAGTACTCCTGAGACCAGTACTCCTGAGACCACTCTCCAGTTCCCATATGTCATAATGCTGAAGGAGAAGGTGTCCCAGTTTCCTTCTGTCTCTTGTCTCTTGAAAGATAACATCACCTCTAGATGGTTGTCAAAGGATCTAATAGACTGAATGTGAATGGAATTTCTATATTGCTTCTTATCTTCATTGTTAAAACAGATCTCTTTATGTGAATAAAGATAAAAAACTTGGTTAAAATAAACCTGAGTCAAGCCAGATTTGATTAGGAAAAGTCCACATAGCCAGGAATTTCAAGAGTTCATGATGGGGAACAAGTTGACCTCAAACTTACTGAGATGGGCCCCACACATACTCCTGTGTGCTATGATTATAGCCATACACCTCTAAGTCCAGCTGAAATAAGTGTTTTGAAAGCACTTATCATTGAATCAGAGAAAGAAATAAAATAAGATTTAGAGGGAGCACCATTGTTTTCATGACAAGCAATATTTCTTGAAATTCTATAATATGAACAGTCAAATAATTTCATATGTTCTCAATAATGGGTTATTTTCATTGCATTGTTAATTCCATCCATTTTAAAATGTTTGAAGTGTGACTGTGTGAATACACCTGTAATACACCTGTGCCATGATGTGTATGTAGCACTGACAGGAAAACTAACAGGGGTCTATGATCTACTTCCACTTTGTGAGTTCTAGTGATGATACCTAAGGAACAATTTGGCTGCAAGTGACCTCAATGGCACTTCTTTGTATTTAAAAATTGTTCACAAATGAGCTCATATAGAAGTGTGCACATGGAAGCACCCAAGTGAAAATATGGGAAACAACTGTAGAAGTCTTATCGGTAACCCAGAGATAGAACTCAGGTTCTCAGAATTAGCAGCAATGAACTTTACTAAATGAGACAATTCTCTGCCATATAATTTATTTTTTAAGAAAATGTTATAAATATATATTTAGCCTTCATAATGAACAAATTAGAAATGTATGGTAGTATAAATAAGTTCATATGCAAAGATTTATTATTCAAGATATCCTGGGTCCTTATACCCTTGAATGAATTTACATTTACAATCTGAAAGACAATAATTAACTGATGTACTATTTCTTCAAATCAAATTTGATCATCACTGATATAGTTCTGTGGGAAGAAACTGTTGAATACTAGGCAAGAAACCCAATATTGATCCCAGCAGAACATCAAGCTATGGTATGAGATACACAACTGATTGCTGATTATTTTGCTTTATTATATCAATATAATATAAATGAAAATATTTTTTGAATACACACATGAGGTATTTAATGTTTCTTATAATCACATTTTTCAGTCATTTTAACATTAACATTGTTAAATTGTGTTGAGAAAACAGAACACATTGGGAGTTCATCATCTACCCTTGAACTTGTGCTCAGGTGGCAGACACATAAGCATCATGACTTCAAATGTATCTCTGAATCATTACTGACATCCAAGCCAGCATGAATTATAAGCAAAAAGACCTCAAGGAATTTTGTGAAAAGATGAAAGTCAAAACCAGAAACAACAACTGACCACCCTTTCACTTACTTGAAAATTCCTTACTTGAAAATTATGATCAGACATGTTTTAATATTTTAATAACCAATGGGTCACTTCAATGATGGGGATGTCATCTTATACATTACATCATAAAAATACCTATTACTAGGGAAAGGCACAATAGAAGCTGAACAAAAGCCATAGAAGGAATATAAAGTATAAAAAATAAATTTTAGTAAATAAAGTTGTCACAATATAGAACACTTTAGTACCTACCTCAAATGTTTCAAAATAGAAACCAAAATGCAATGATTTCCACCATTAATCTTGAGAGAACATGTTACGTAATTTACTTCTTTCAAAGTTATGATGAAAAATAATTTTTCTTCAAGCTGAAGACAACGTTGATGGCTAAAGTCAATAAAAATTGTTTTCTGCTTATGAGTTTGTTCCTACTTCCAAAATTCAATGTAATATAAATAGACATTAAAATATTTATAGGACTAGAGTCATGTCTAGGTGACTAAGAAATCTTCATTCCAAGGACTCAGGTCAAATTTTTAAGAGCTACCTGTAATTTCTGCTACAAGAAGATGCAAGGTGTTAACGTTTTCAGAATACAGAATGCACATTAACATTCTATCTCTCTCACACACACATACACATGCACGTCATTACAATAAAAGCAAATTTTTTAAAAAAAATTTTCACACGTGGAAATTTTTCTCCTGTAAGCATTTATTAATGTAAAAGATGAGTCCAGGCATATTACAGCTTACTTACAGAGTTTTTCTTCATGAAGTATTGGTTCATGTAAAGAGAAATCAAATTAAAACTTGAAGTAAGAGAAATAAATCCTTCTAAGTTGGTGGTATCATTTGGGAAGATTTAGGACATGCTGCACTGCTGAAGGAAATATGTCACTGAGAGTAGGCTATGAGAATTTACATTCATACGCCAGTTCCAGTTCCAACACTCTGCTTCATGTGGAAGATTACGGCTTTGAGTTCTTAAGTTCCAGCTTTAGTGCCATGTCTGACACTTTTTGTCATGGCTCTTTCATGGTGATCCTATTATCCTCTAGAACCATGACCTGAAGAAGATGCTTTTATATGTTGAAAGACATTATATCACAACTGAAAAGGAGGCAGTACACATCCATAAATATTTACACCTGAATTACATATTCCATGCAGTTGAAGAGAGTATAAAATCTAAAAGGGTTACATTATTGTTCAAATTCATTTTGCAAGTCTTAAAATTATGGAAGGAAGGATACGCTGACTACTGAAAGTTAGGCAACACCAACAGCTGTGAAAAGAAGTTTGCCCCCACTAGACATAGCAATTCTCTTTCTCTCTGAGAGAAAGTCATTACAGCTGGGCTCTGCTCCATTCTTCCATGAAAGCTTCCCAGCAGAAATGTCAGTTTCTGATCTGCTCCACTCTCCTAAGGGAGTCTCCCATAAGAGGTGTCCATTGCTTCTGTGCTCTTCTAGGCTAAGTGAGTTTCCAAACAGTTATGTCAACTGTATCTCAGTTCAACTCCACTAGAGATTTCCTGATCCATTCCAGTGAAAGAAGGTGTTCATATAAATCTCAGTCAAGAGATTTATTTAGGAGGGAAGAATCCAGAGTGTGAGTTCCTCTGCAAGTCTGGAAAGAGGCAGCTGCCAACTGAATGAGCATATGACTCATATAGGGCTTCTTGGAGGCAGAGCAGCTCTAAGGAGATTTAGAAGGTGAGAACTGGTGAGATTTAAATGCCTGGGCTTGAACAAGCTCAGAGATGGGCTGGATTTTGTGCTCTGGAGTTGGTTGGTTTTGAGCTCAGAGAGACAAGTGTAGATTGCATTTTTTTTGCTTTGGTTTGAGAGCCAAAGCAGATTTCTTTCAGTATCCAGATATGATGTTTGACTGTGTTTTCAGGGTGATGTTGTATCTTTCACTAGTTCTGGAATTAGGAGCAAAGGGTATTCCTTTGTATCTCATTTCACTACCAGGTTGCGATTCTTATCTTGGCTCTATCTCCTTCCCAAAAGACTTCATAAAATCACAAATTAGGTTTTGTCCATGAGTTTCCTGGTGCAAATAAAATAAAAGCTGGTATCATAATGCTTGAACAGATTGTTGACACTATCATTTTTTAAAGAATAAATACTGTTGGATAATAGACTGTAAATGTGATGGCTTAAAATTAATTTGCAATAAGAAACCCTCAGTGTCTTCTTCAGGTACCCAAAAACTTTATCAGATTGATTACACACAAAAAGTTTTACTCCTGTAACAAGTACAAAACATTTACCACACTAAGTTTATTTTTTTCACTACATTATGATTATTCTCATGTTTTTGAAGACTATAATCCTTAAGTTTACAGTTTCTCTCCAGGACAGTTTGATTCATGTATTTGGAGATTATTGTGACAACAGATTTGCGAAACAAATCCATTCACAAGTTTCTTTCCAATCTGTGTCCTTTTCTGCATTTGAAGATGAATAAGACATGAAAAGACTTTTCCAAACTCATTTCATGCATACCTTTTTGCACCCATGTGTGTTCTTTGATGCCTTTGAAGAGCATTGTTTTGAGCAAAGACCTTATCACACTGATTACATTCATAGGGTTTCTCTCCAGTATGTGTTCTTTCATGTATTTGAAGAGCATTGTGTTGAGCAAAGGTCTTACCACAGTGATTACATTCATAGGGTTTCTCTCCAGTATGTATTCTCTTATGCAATTGAAGAGTATGGGCCTGTCCAAATGCCTTACCACACTGATTACATTCATAGGGGTTCTCTCCAGTGTGTGTTTGCTTATGCAATTGAAGATGATTGTGTTGTGCAAAGGCTTTACCAAACTGATTACAATCATAGGGTTTCTCTCCAGTATGAGTTCTTTCATGTGTTTGAAGATGACTGTGTTGAGCAAAGGCCTTACCACACTGATTACTTTCATAGGGTTTCTCTCCAGTATGTATTCTTTTATGCAATTGAAGAGTACGGGGCTGTCCAAATGCCTTACCACACTGATTACATTCATAGGGTTTCTCACTAGTATGTGTTCTTTTATGGTATTGAAGAGTATTTTGTTGAGCAAAGGCCTTACTACACTGATTACATTCATAAGGTTTCTCTCCAGTATGTGTTCTTTTATGCACTTTAAGATGACTGTGTTGAGCAAAGGCCTTACCACACTGACTACATTCATAGGGTTTCTAGGTAGTATGTGTTTTTTTATGCAATTGAAGAGAATGAAGCTGTCCAAAGGCCATACCACACTGATTACATTCATAGGATTTCTCTCCAGTATGTGTTCTTTTATGCTTGTGAAGAGCACTGTGTTGAGCAAAGGCCTTACCACACTGACTACATGCATAGGGTTTCTCTCCAGTATGTGTTCTTTCATGTATTTGAAGAGCTCTGTGTTGAGCAAATGTCTTACCACACTGATTACATTTATAGGGTTTCTCGCCAGTATGTATTCTTTTATGCAATTGAAGAGTATGGGGCCATCCAAATGCCTTACCACACTGATTACATTCATAGGGTTTCTCTCCAGTGTGTGTTGTTTTATGTGATTGAAGATGATCGTGTCGTGCAAAGGCTTTACCACACTGATTACATTCATAGGGTTTCTCTCCAGTATGTGTTCTTTCATGGTTTTGAAGAGTATTTTGTTGAGCAAAGGCCTTACTACACTGATTACATTCATAAGGTTTCTCTCCAGTATGTGTTCTTTTATGGGTTTGAAGAGTACTGTGTTGTGCAAAGGCCTTACCACACTGAATACATTCATAGGGTTTCTCTCCAGTATGTGTTCTTTCATGTATTTGAAGATGACTGTGTTGAGCAAAGACCTTACCACACTGAATACATTCATAGGGTTTCTCTCCAGTGTGTGTTCTTTTATGCGATTGAAGATGACCGTGTCGTGCAAAAGCTTTACCACACTGATTACATGCATAGGATTTCTCTCCAGTATGTGTTCTTTCATGTATTTGAAGATGACTGTGTTGAGCAAAGGCCTTACCACACTGATTACATTCATAGGGTTTCTCTCCAGTATGTGTTCTTCTATGCAATTGAAGATGATTAAGTCGTGCAAAGGCCTTACCACACTGATTACATTCATAGGGTTTCTCTCCAGTATGTGTTCTTTTATGGTTTTGAAGAGTATTTTGTTGAGCAAAGGCCTTACCACACTGACTACATTTATATGGTTTCTCTCCAGTGTGTGTTCTTTTATGATATTGAAGATGATCGTGTCGTGCAAAGGCCTTACCACACTGAATACATTCATAGGGTTTCTCTCCAGTATGTGTTCTTTCATGTATTTGAAGATGACTGTGTTGAGCAAAGACCTTACCACACAGAATACATTCATAGGGTTTCTCTCCAGTGTGTGTTCTTTTATGCGATTGAAGATGACCGTGTCGTGCAAAGGCTTTACCACACTGATTACATGCATAGGGTTTCTCTCCAGTATGTGTTCTTTCATGGTTTTGAAGAGCATTTTGTTGAGCAAAGGCCTTACTACACTGATTACATTCATAAGGTTTCTCTCCAGTATGTGTTCTTTTATGCTCTTTAAGATGACTGTGTTGAACAAAGGCCTTACCACACTGACTACATTCATGTGGTTTCTCTCCAGTGTGTGTTCTTTTATGTGATTGAAGATGATCATGTCGTGCAAAGGCCTTACCACACTGATTACATTCATAGGGTTTCTCTCCAGTATGTGTTCTTTTATGCCTTTGAAGATCACTCTGATATGCAAAGGCCTTACCACAGTGATTACATTCACAGGGTTTTTTTTCAGTATGTGTTCTTGTGTTCATTTGAAAAGAACTGTGATGAGCAAAGGCTTTACAACACTGATTAGATGCATAGGATTTCTCACTATAATATTTTCTTTCATTCCTCTGAAGCTGAGTATCATATGCCAAGGCTTTATCACATTGAGGATGTACTGAATATTTCTTTCCAGAATTATTTCTTTTAATCCTGCAAGTATAATTGGAACACATAAAAGTTTTACCACATTCAATACACTCATGAACCTACATATCTGTATGTATTATTTTTATAATTTAGTCTAATAGTAAACAGAATTCAGATATTAATGTTTTATAACTTTGTTTAAACTCATGCTTTCTTCTGTAATTAAGGGTTCTTTTGCATTTTTTAAGACACTTGTCATGGTAAATTCCTTTATTATGTGGTTTAAATTTTCACCTTTACAGAAACATTTTTCAATTTGACATATTTCACATATTTGAAGACAACTGAATAACCTCAGAACAACTTTATTGCATTCTTAAACTGTCCTATACTGTAAATCATACTACATTTGCTAAGTAAACTAGGACAATAAGAAGTATTTGCACAATTCTAGAACTCATGTGGCTTCTCTGCACTGTGACTTTTTTTATGTATTAACAGTTATGTGAGAAAACCAATTTTTTATATAGTTCAATCAATTTGAGAAAGGGTACTTAACATGGGGACTAATGCTTATCTTCTAATTGTTTTTAGAGAGAGATATGCTGTGATTTTCCATATTCCCATGCGCATAGGCTTGTATTGAGAGTAATTTGTGGTATACAAGGTAAAGGAAGAATCACAAACAAAAAATTTCCACACTGAATTATCACGGTGTGACATTCTGTTCCTCATAGATGTGCAGTAGAAGTTTCTTCACAACAACTGCCACTTAACTCTAACTGCTTCTGTCACCAATCTTAATATAGTAATAAGAAGTATATGAGTAATACAAGATTTACTATGTGCTCTCGATTTATTAGAAAGTCTTGCAGATATACTTATCATCACTCCAATGTATACACATTTTGTATTATGAGTAGTAAGAAATAAATGGATTGGTGGATCTACAGAATAGCTCTCATGGTTGTATGCTTCAAATGCTGATATCTGTTTAGCCATTTCTCATGATTTCTTAATTAAAAAAAATGCCTTGAAAATGTAATTCAACTACATGAAATTCTATATGGATTTTTCAGAAGTTAATAATCATAAATGCACTTAAAGCTGTGCTTATTCACACTGTTGCTTTTATTTAAATCTTCTAGGACACATTATCATTTTATTAGAGGATCATTATTTTCAGCATGCATAAGAAAATTACCTTTCATGTCTTCTAGAATGTTGACAATGTTCTTTACTATTATGTTCTTCCCAAATGTATCCTAAAATGCAGTACCAGAAAATGTATGTTATAATATTGAATACTATGCATCATTTAAGTAACTATTTTAACTAAACCTTAGAACCATTTTGATTTATTTACCTCATTCTTATTCTCCTTTCTAAATCAAATTATTTTTTTCTCATTTTTTTTTTGTTTTTTTCGAGACAGGTTTTCTCTGTAGCTTTTGGTGCCTGTCCTGGAACTAGCTCTTGTAGACCAGGCTGGCCTCGAACTCAGAGATCTGCCTGCCTCTGCCTCCCGAGTGCTGGGATAAAAGGCGTGTGCCACCACTGCCCGGTTTAAATCAAATTATTGAAGAACATCATTAACCAAGAAAAAGCTGTCCCTTTATTTTGAAACAAGAAGGAAATTAATTTTTACCTATAGTAGTGAGGTTCCTGTAGGTCTCCAGCATCACATCTTTGTAGAGATTCTTCTGGGAAGGATCCAGCAAATTCCACTCTTCCCAAGTGAAGTTGATATGCACATCATCATAGGTCACTGCCTTCTAAAATATGCCATACATGATAGTGACATGATAGTGACACCATTGTAAATGTATACTTCTTTGATAGTATAGTCATAAAATTCTGGTATTCCCTAGTCATATTCTAAGACATAGACACTCACTTTAGAAGGAAAGTGTATAGGAGAGTCATCTCTGTCATTTCTTTACTCTTTGAATGAGATATCACCTTACATGTGAAATATCTATTAGCAAAGAGAAACAAGAAAACATATCAACAGTATATAGTACACATGAGAAAATTTTATGAAGATTAACTAACTACAAATAGAAAAATAAGTTGGACAACCTGGTTGTATTGACTCATGCCTTTAAGCTCAGAACTTCAAAAGCAGAGGCGGGTATATTTTTCCCTGAGTTAAATGCCAGACAAGTCTATGCAATAAGGTCCAGGAAGGTGAAAGTACATAGTAAAACCCTGTCTTCCAGGAAGTGGTGGTGCATGCCTTTAATCCTACCAATCAGGAGGCAGAGGCAGGTTGGTCTCTGTGAGTTTGAGGACAGCCTGTACTTTGAGAGATAGTTCCAGGACAGGCTCCCAAGCTACAGAGAAACCCTGACTCAAAAATCAAATAAACAATAAACAAAAAACAAACAAACAAAAAGACACTGTCTACATTGCAAATATCAGTGAATCAAGCAAGAAAAATAGAGGAACTCAGAGGTTTTTACTGGAGTTCCTACAAAGAAATATACATTCACTCCACTTCTCTATTTATCTTCCAAACATCCGAAGTGCCCTAATTTAAATTGTAATGCCAATAACATTTTACAAACAGAGCTTTATGTTTAAACAGTTACAAATGGACAGATGAAAACATTAGCAATATAAAACTTGGGCATAAGTAATAAACACAGCTGGGAGAGGGATGACTGAGTAGTACCTAGCTTTTGATGGTCTTGAATAGATGTGGCAGAATTGCCAGTACTTATTTGGGAATCATAACTATCCATTATTCCAAGTTCACAAATTCTGTGATCCTTTGATCATGTTGAGGACCAGGTACTCATGTGGTCCATAGTCATGCCGATACATCAAGTTGTTATATTAATTTTAAAAATGTAAAGTAAGCATAACAAGCAGGAAGAAGTTCAAGCACCTACAATTCAATGACTCTGAATTCTTAGGCAGTACTAATGTCACACCTACTGAAAGACTTCCAGACCCCAAAATGGGGAAAAAAGCTACTTCTATCATAGCCAACACAGACCAGAATACCAAAGAGCAGATAGAAACCAAGGAATAAACGTGCATCCAACAAAGACAAACAGAGATACTGGCACCTAGACCTGCAGTCACCTCAGACCCAGACACCTGACAAGAGCACAATAACATGATCAACAACAGACAGAACAATATGTCACTACCATATTCCAACTCTCCTACTACAGCACACCCTGAATATTCAAACCCAGTCAAAGTACAATTAAGTTAGATCAACTATGTAGATGTTTTATGTCCTTAAGAAAGAAGTGAATGAATTTTTTAAAAAAGCAAAGGAAGAGGTGCTTTGTTTACGAGCTACCCATCTAGCACTGAGATCTGATCTGGGCACCAGGAGAGCCATCACCAGGTTGAATGAGTTTCACCTGCAGCAGCAGCCCTAGACATGGAACTCAGACATTCCTCATCCCCCTATACTTCCTGGACTTCCTGCAGGGGCTATACTCCCCAGATACTGCCTCTCTCTTTCTATCCCACCCAGCTTGCATCCAGAACCCCCCTTCTGCCTCCCTCCCCTCTTCAGGCACATTACATCACCCAGCTCAGCCTGTTTGGGCTCTGGGTCCAAATCGTGAGGGCAACCAGGCAGACAGGAGTTCCTTTGTCTCAAGAGCCTGCCTGCAACAAGAAAGGTAGGCGCTTTGTTTACGAGCTACCCAACCAGCATGGAGATCTGATCTAGGCACCAGAAGAGCCATCACTGGAGAGTGCCATCACTGGGAAGGTACATCAGTGGGCAAGGAGACCTGGTCCTGTAAAAGAAATTCCATAGGGGAGCATTTGGAGGAAGAGATGGGCAGGTGCCAATGCAAGAATTCACCCAACAATCTGAAAAACAACATGAAACCACCAGAACCCAGTGACCTCAAAACAGGAGGACATGAACACCTTAATCAAGAAAAAGTAGAAAAAATTGACTTTATGAAAGTGATTGACACCCTTAAACAGCATGTAAAAAATGCCCTTATAGAAATGGATGAGAAGTATAACAGAAAGTTTGAAGAATTGAATAAATCAGTGAATGATACCCTAGGAAACCAAGGAAAAACAATCAAACAGATAATGGAAACAGTTCAAGACTTGAAAACTGAAATGGAGGGAAGGAAGAAAACACACACAGAGGGCCGGATGGACATGGAAAATTTAAGTAAACAAACAGAGACTACAGAAACAAACATAGCCAACAGAATACAAGGGATAAAAGAAAGAATCTTAGCTTCTGAAGATATCATAGAGAAAATAAATGCTCTGATCAAAGAAAACAGCAAGTCCAACAAACTCGCATCACAAAACATTCAGGAAATCTGGGACACAATAAAAAGATCAAACCTAAGAATAATAGGAGTAGAAGAAGGAGAAGAGTCACAGCTCAAAGGCCCAGAAAATATTTTTAATAAAATTATAGAAGAAAACTTTCCCAACCTAAGGAAAGATATACCTATGAAGGTTCAGGAAGCAAACAGAACACTGAATAGGCTGGATCAAAAAAAATCCCCTCACCATATAATAATCAAAACACAAAGCAAACAGAATAAAGAAAGAATATTAAGGGCTGCTAAGGAAAAAGGCCAAGTTACTTATAAAGGTAAACCTATCAGACTTACACCTGTCTTCTCCATGGAAACCATGAAAGCCAGAAGGTCCTGGATAGATGTACTGCAAAAACTGAGAGACCATGGATGCAAGACCAGACTACTATATCCAGCCAAGCTTCCGTTCACTATAAATGGAGAAAACAAATTTTCCAGGATAAAAACAAATTTAAACAATATTTATCCACAAATCCAGCCTTACAGAAAGTAATAGAAGGAAAATCACTAACCAAGGAGTCCACCAATGAACACAATAACTCAGACATCTAGAGACCCTTCACCAGCAAAACTCAAAGAAGGAAAACACACAAACCCTACTACTAAAAAAGTGGCCGGAGTTAACAACCACTAGTCATTAATATCACTTAATGTCAATGGACTCAAATCACCTATAAAAAGGCACAGGAGAAGAGATTGGATACGAAAACAGGATCCAACATTCTGTTGTTTACAAGAAACACACCTCAACCACAAAGACAGGCACCTACTCAGAGTAAAGGGCTGGGAAAAGGCTTATCAAGCAAATGGACCTAAGAAACAAGCAGGTGTGGCCATACTAATTTCTAACAAAGTTAACTTCAAACTTAAATCAATCAGAAGAGTCATTGCCAAATTCCTTTTATGAAGCTACAGTTACTCTGATACCAAAACCACACAAGGACTCAACCAAGAAAGAGAATTACAGCCAATCTCACTCATGAACATCAACGCAAAAATCCTCAATAAAATACTGGCAAACCAAATCCAAGAATACATTAGAAAAATTATCCATTATGATCAAGTAGGCTTCTTCCCAGAGATGCAGGGCTAGTTCAACATATGGAAATCTATCAATTTTTTTTTTGATTTTGCGAGACAGGGTTTCTCCGTAGCTTTTGGTTCCTGTCCTGGAACTAGCTCCTGTAGACCAGGCTGGCCTCGAACTCATAGAGATCCGCTTGCCTCTGCCTCCCGAGTGCTGGGATTAAAGGCATGTGCCACCCCCGCCCGGCATGTAATCCATCATATAAATAAACTGAAAGAAAAAACCATATGATCATTTCATTAGATGCTGAAAAAGCATTTGACAAAATTCAACATCCCTTTATAATAAAAGTCTTTGAGAGATTAGGGATATAAAGGTCAAACCTAAATATAATAAAAGCTATTTACAGCAAGCCAACAGCTAACATCAAATTAAACAGAGAGAACTCAAAGCCATCCCACCAAAATCAGGAACAGGACAAAGATGTCCACTCTCTCCATACCTCATCAATATAGAGCTTGCAGTTTTAGCAATAGCAATAAGACATCATAATGGGATCAAGGGGATTCGAATTGGAAATGAAGAAGTTAAACTTTCATTATTTACAGATGATATGATAGTGTACTTAAGCGACCCCAAAAACTCCACCAAAGAACTCCTACAGCTGATAAACACCTTTAGTAATGTGGCAGGATACAAGATCAACTCCAAAAAATCAGCCGCCCTCCTATACACAAAGGATAAAAAAGCAGAGAGGGAAATCAGAGAAGCATCACCTTTCAAGATAGCCACGAACAGCATAACATATCTTGGGGTAACTCGAACCAAGGAAGTGAAAGATCTATTTGCCAAGAACTTTAAGGCATTGAAGAAAGAAATTGAAGAGGATACCAGAAAATGGAAGGACCTCCCTTGCTCTTGGATTGGGAGGATCAACATAGTAAAAATGGCAATTCTTCCAAAGGCAATTTATTGATTCAATGCAATCCCCATCAAGGTCCCATCAAAATTCTTTACAGATCTTGAGAGGACAATAATCAATTTTATATGGAAAAAAAACGGGATAGCCAAAATAATGTTATACAATAAAGCAACTTCTAGAGGCAGTACCATCCCTGACTTTAAACTCTATTACAGAGCTACAGTAATGAAAACAGTGTGGTAGCAGCATAAAAACAGAGAAGTTGACCAATGGAATCGTATAAAAGATCCAGATTTTAACCCACAAACAGAGAAGTTGACCAATGGAATCGTATAGAAGATCCAGATTTTAACCCACAAACCCACCTCATTTTTGATAAAGGAGCTAAAAGTATACAATGGAAGAAGGAAAGCATCTTCAACAAATGGTGCTGGCAAAACTAGATGTCAATCTGCAGAAGAATGAAAATAGAACCATATCTATCACCATGAACAAAAC